GTGTGTGCATGGTATATCCATAAAATCTGTTCTTAAATACTCCATAGAAACGGCACATGCTGTTGGGTGGGAGGCATTATCTAACACCTCTTTTCTCAACCCCCTTCCTATACATCCAGTCTTTCACCACTACTCCTGTTCTGATCAGCCTCACTGATTATTTAGACTTCCTGCTGGGTCCACTTTAGTATTCTATGCTAGCCTTGCAGTTTCTGACTCAGACACAACACTGTTTCCTTGAAATGTTTAGTACTTATAGGCGATCTGTGCCCATCTTCATCTTGAAGATGTAACCTTGCACTCGTACATTTCAATACTTACTTTTCAAGAATTTGCATGTTGTCAGATTACTGCCCTTCCATCCCACATAATGTGGTCTTCTGTGCCAGTGACCACGCTTTCCTCCTTAGACCAGACTGTTGGCTGGAGAGGATCAATGCTGGCTGCGACTCAGGGAGGAGATTTCTCCCCTCTGATGGAGTCAGTCGATAGGTAATTTCTCCCGAGACGTGTGGCGGCTGTTACAGTATTGAGCTGCTAAAACCCTCGGGCTCGACCCCTCTGGATGGACTTGGTCGCTAAATATTGATAGACCTCACACATTAATGTAGACTCATGCAGTCACACACACAACCACAATAAGACACAAACACAGTCTGGACTTGTTCTTAAAGAAGCTTTAGTACATGGGAAGCCACACTTGTAAAATCTATTTAGTTCCCTAACATCAAATTGTGCCGTTCAGATCCCTGGTTATGGTTTGTGGAAACCTTTTTTGTGTTGGGATATTTACAGTGCTGAGATGGCTGATTACAGGACTCTTGAGTCTAAGGCACATATTGAGCACAATAGTTCTTTAAAGTCAGCAACTGATCCACTCTAATTGTACTCTATAGTAGAGATGGACCGATCCGATATTCCGTATCGGTATCGGTCCTATACTGACGTAAATTACTGGATCGGATATCGGAGGGAAATAAAAAATGTAATCCGATCCATTAAATATCAAAAAAGCACCTCAAAAAACTTGCAACATGGCGTAACTCGGCTCATAACCGTAGCACGTCGGAGCAGTGTGCTCACGTGATAGAGCGGCTGTGTGTATTTGTAGCCTCGCTACCAAACCAGCATTTCATCTCCGAGGAAGTTATCTCAGAGAGAAGTAAAGCAAGTGTGTAAGTTCATCTCTGAATGTTTGTAAAGCATTCCCGCGTTAAGCTTAACAACCGATATATGGAGCGTCTGCCTCTTCTCTCTTCCTCCCTCTCCTGCTGCTACTTCAGTCGTGAAACTGATCAATCGCCAGAACTCCAGTTCCTCTGACAGCCATCTGAGGCAGGCTTCAACACAGAGTCAGTCCCCACAGACTCCAATGTTTAAATGCCGAGCTTACCAGCAATGTAAAGCATTTTTACAGTCTGGTGTGAGACACATATTTTGTACTCTTTAGATTGGTTCCTCCTTAATAACAACTGTTGAGAGTATGAGCTTTTAAATAGTTTTCATGTCTCACTTTGGAGTTGTCAGGTGTGCCGACACAGCTGGCTGTGCCCCCTCAACTCTGCTAATTTGAGTCACTTCACTGGATTGTGCTCTCGTGTCTGTAGTTAAGCAGTCTATCAGTCAAACAATATTTCCTGGAAGCTTGTCCTTTAGTTTTGATGAATATATTCTAGTAATCAGTCTGTTATGTCCCACCAATTGACCATGTGTCACTTTTGGCTTCAAAAAACCAACATGTTGCAGTCGAACCACTAGTGTTGGTGCTTAAAGATGTGGAGTCCGAAACCAATTGGGTGATGTCATGGTGGCTGTGTCCATGTTTTAAATACAGACTTTTATATAGAGAGCCTGTGATCTGCCTTTCACTTTCCCACCAGTTTCAGACTAAAGTGAAATCAGTTCCACCATTTAAAAAAACAAAACAATGTTTCTGTTAGCAGACTGGAGGAGCACAGATGGGGTCAGCAGTACACTACTGTTTACTTCTGTAACATGTGGTAGTGATTTGAACTGAGATGTGTGTTACAACCAGTCATTGAAGTTTTACTTTCAGTGTCTGGATGAAGCACATGTATTTTTTTTTTTTCATTTAAAGATCTTAAAGAAAAAATGATCAAATAAGTCAGCAGGAGTACCCCAGAAGGGGTTTTGTAATCATAGTAAGTGTGGGAAGCTACACAAGTCCATTTGGAAGTAGAAGCTGAACCCACCCACCAAAAAGTCATCATGATGGTATAACACAGTATTCAATCTCACATAGAGACTATAATTGAAAAGAGGAATCTAGTTGATATACACTTTCTTGTCTTGATAAGTTTCCATCCTGTTTGGCCAAACAAAATAACCCACTGACAGATGACACAGTGTAAGAATTAGTATACGTGCTTCAGCCTTTTTGATTGATTTCTACTGTGTTAGCTTTAACCTCAGAATTTAAAGAGTACTTGTGTCCAACCTCGGCTATGCTACAGGAAAAAAAACCCCAACTATTTGATTGAACGACAAAGAGCAATATTTTCTAACTACTGACTTACGTGCTTCTACTTTTTCATTGTCTTCTTTAAATTGTCTTTATGGAATTATGCTAGCACTACTGCACCGTCACCATCATCTCATTTTCCTTCCTCTACAGCGGCATCTAGACGTGGTGACCTCCAAATTTTGGGTTTCTGTCTCCTTCACTGGTTATGTGGGTCTCTGCCTTGGGACGATGTCCTCAAAAATCCAACTCAGGTCCAGGAGGCAAAGACCAGGTAGGGAGTAACTGAGACTGAGCGTGTATCCGGGTACTCTCTACAGAAGGATGGAAGATTTTAAATACCTTTTTTTCTGGATTAGAGTCTCTTTATTGCCATGAAAAGCTGTTGACTGACGTCGCAGATTTCTGTAGTGAAATTAAATTATAATAATTAAATTGCATTGCAGCATCTGTTGCTCTAACAGTACAACATATAGTATCACACACACACAAAGTCTGATACTGGAATTTCACTTATTAACATAATTATAAATCGTTACTACCTTTCTTCCTGTTTCTGCCTTAAAGAAGCATTTGCAGCGTAGCACAGGTGTAGTCTGTTTTAATGATGTCCACCCAGACATCACCCAGTCCACCTGTCTGGTTTAAGGAGTGGTAAAATTATATCAAAGCTTTGAGTCTGTTTCGTTTACAGGACACTGCTTGAGCGTATTTCATTAAACAGGATTTTAGGAGTTTTCTTGTCTGTTGTTGAAGAGTTATACCTGAGGGCAGATTTTACTGTGCGCTTTTAGAGTTATGGAGCTTTCATTCATTTTGATTGGAGCTTGGATTCATGCTAGGGTGGCTGCCAAGTCTCCACTGCTTCAGTACTGTGCAAAAGTCTTGAGCCACCCAGAATTTCCTTATAATTAGCTTTCTATAAGACAAGACTTTCTTGTAATTTTTAATGAGGTCTTCAGCAATAGTTCTCCAGGTTTTTATGGTCTTTTAAAGTTTCCATTAATTCTTTTTACGTTTAATTAAAAAGAAACAAAAACTACAAGTGCAAATAAGAGTGTAATGACTTAACAGCTCTGTCTGATATGAGGCTAGATATATGTGGAATGTACTCCACAGCAGTGTTGCATACATAATCTACTCCTAATAATTATGTTGAGTGTGTGTGTAGTTGATGTCAGAGTGAGAAAAACGAATGTTGTGTGCTTTGGCTTCATTTCAACTCGTTCTCCTGCTCTGCCCCTGAGTCCATCTCTCAGATCTCTTCTGTTTTCACTTCTTCTCTCAGACTGATGGATAATCTGCCACATTCAGTCCAGCAGCTGTCAGTGAGCGGAGCCAGCACAGGTAAGCCAAGGCCAAAGGGCATCTTCAGGTTAGCGAACTTCTTCTCCACTTCTCAAGTTAACGAGAGAATTTGAAAGTAAAACTACAAGCCTTTGGAGGGGGAGAGAAAAATCTTCTTTTGGGCTCTGGGTTTACTGAGAATCTCTGTTAATAAGAATACAAGATTAGACAGAGCAGCACTTCTTTATTTTTACTTTTTTAAATCAGTATGTGTTAATGTAGAAACAACATATCTAAGGTGACGACTTTTCTAGTCATTAGAATGATGTCATTACTTATATTTTCTCTACAAATGGACTATTTCAAAGATTTTTTACTTGTAGAGATATACTGAAGGCAAGTTCAGGTCTAATGGAATATAGCTACAGCCGAACTCTACAGGTGTTTCTGTATTCTTCCACATGCTGCTTGGAATCTGATCCAAGAACTGAGTCAGCACAGTGTGGGTGACTTTTACGCACTGTGTAGGCAAATTGTGTGGCTAACTGCTTGACTTTATACTCCTGACTTCAAAGATTAAGCGGCATGGCCGAGTATTTACAGTATGGTGTTGTGACCTTAGATTCGCATCGTAATTTAGATTCCCATACGTTAATAATGCAAAATCCTTTGTTAGCTGGGTCAAAATGATGACGCGTGACACATAAACTTGGTGTAGCTGTGTGGTTATTTGCTGAGCTCAATGAAGAGGCTAAACTTAGTTTGGCTTAAAAATGCCTGAAGTGAAGACAATCTTTAAACTGGATTATAAGAAGAGACGAGGCTGTGACAGTCCAGGCTACATGAAAATGTCCCACCCAGAATAAAACACTGTCTCCTTTTCTCTCACCTGAAGCTCCAGAATAACTTTGTAGCAATTAAACAGCTGTCCCATTGACATGCCTTTCAAAGTTAGTCGTGTTTTATCTCTCCTCTTTATAAGGAGAGGTCACACCTGTGCTATGGCTCGGTGTGTGATGTATGGTTGGGACTAGATTCTCCTCTGCTGACAAAGCCCGGCTGCCCGCCACAGATAAGAGCTGGGGTATGCATCAACCCTGTGTGCGAGTGTGTGTGTGTGTGTGAGTGACACCGTGCTACTGCAGTATGTGCCAGACATGTCACCTGGCCAGTGTGTGATGCATCAGGACTGATTGAGTATGACACTTCCACACATGCAGGTCCTTAGCCACGTGCTCGCTTGATCTCCTCTGCGGAGAGATACCACCACACACAGACACACACACTCAAAAATATACAGGGTGCTTCACTTTCTGGAATAGTAACTTTGTAAAAATCAAACCAGATTTAATCAAATCAGTATCACTTAACATATCTGATTCTTGATGTCCACTCTGCTCCTGTCTTCAGATGAGGTGGCCAAATTCCTCCTTTATGTGAACAAACTGGGCTACCAAGAGAAGCCCGATTACCAGTATCTTAAAAGCCTGTTGGGCAGTGCTGTCAGGGGAGGACTTGATTTGTCCAAGCCACAGGGAGCTGCAGGGGAATCGCCCACCAAAGATCCTCGAGCCAAGGAAAAGGTGAGGACTCAAAACCTGTGGATTGGTGTGGAAATAATTTGGCACCACTGAAATCCTGTGAACCCACCTTCATCCTCCAGTAGGTATTTGGCTTCTTACTGAAATGTTGGCTCAGTTAGACATCTGTCTATAGCAGCTCACTTTCTCAGCGGGTGTGGTCACTTCACAGGCACAGGCGTATTCCAAGATGACAACGCCAGGATTCGTCAGGCAGATTATGAAAGTATGATTCACCACCACAGACTGCTGGGATAACCCCAGTGGGAATCTTTGGGATGTGATGGTCTGATTACTCTCACCATTGACTGGCCCTCCTTAAAATGTTTCTCGTGCATTGGAGAATAGCCACTATGACACAGAAGCTGAGAATACACCAAAAAAATTAGATCTAAGACTGGTGATAATTGACAGAATTTTACCATTCAGTCAACATTCAACTACTTAAGTGTTTGGCCACAAAGATCCTCATTTCCCCAGCTCAGTCTCTTAACCCTGAGTGCTGAATTGTGACAGCAGTGAAAGGGAGGGCTAACCTGCCCCAACGAGCATGTGAACTAGAGGTGGTCAGGTCTGAAGCTGGAGGGCTGCGATTCTGCCTCAATTTAACAGAATAACTTCTTGACCCCACCCCTCCCCCTTCCTACTATCAACGGCCCAATTTGAAGGAGTTGATGACACACACTACAGAGCACAGGGTGTCTCCAATTATGCTCCTGATTTCCTCTCCTCTCCTTGTGTCATTTAATTTCCATGCTAAAGTGCTGGCCAGTTTGATCCCTAGTTAAACAGAAGTGGCCATTTACAGGCGGTTTAGTGAGGAGAGTAAATGTCAGCTGAGATAAAGGCCACTGAATGGGTATGTTCACACAGTCATTTGCCACTAGTGTTGGATAAATATGGAATTATTTTATGGAGGATTATAGTTTTGTAGAGAGGCAAAGTTTTATTTAAGGAAGACTGTTCAAGGATGGGCTTATGGGGTAAAGAGATTTCACGTGACATTAAAAGACATAGGAGCAAAGCATGCACAGCTGTAGATCAGGAGTTCAGAGGAAATGGCCCTTAGACTGAGGCTTCACACAGAATCTGGCCTCAGCAGCAACTTTTGTAGTGATAATGTTGGTGCTGGCATCAGGCAGCAAATATTATCAGTTCTGCCTATGTGTAACATGAAAAATGTGACTGTGTATTCTCCTGAGTATTGGTATTGAGTTTGAGGATTTTATTTTGGACTTGACAACAGTAACAGTCCAGTAAAAGAAACAAACCAAACATAATGAGTGAGAGTCAGTAGCTGAGATGAGGAAGTGGACAGTGAAAGCCTTACCTTCATCTGAGACAAACTGCTGATGCTTGTCTAGCTTCAGCTAATGCTATGTTAGCTCTCCTGCTAGCAGGTGACACACGGTGAAGTAAACGCAGAACACTGAACTAAATTGCCCTGCATAGCTCCGTGCACTGAAGAAGGCAGGATCTCATATCTGATCCAATCTATCCTCCAGCTGCGTTGCATTAAAGGAGGAGAAATAAGCTCGCAGATAATGTTGTGACTGAAATGAGGCCAGTTAGAAAGCAGTCGTGTCGGCCTCACATCGGCCATCACAGAGATAATAAAACTGCTTTTTGTTTCCGTCAGCAGAAAGCAGGAGGAGCGAGCGGAGTCTCTGGAGCCAAAGCTGCACCTCTACAGGACCATGATGAAGTCCATGAAGGGGCAAAGTGCAAAGCAGTGCCAGCTCGCTACAGAGGACCACTCATCAATAAACCTAAACCAGAACAGGTAAGGCCTCAAACACCTTAACTGTCACCCTTTATGCAACAGTATGCTGAGACAACATAACCCAAGTCACATTTTGACATCTCTTGTAAATAAAAAAAATAACTTTGAAACTAGATTTGAAATACAATGTAATATTAAATCAGAAGGGTTCAGAAGCTTGTGTAACAGTTTACTGTGTGACATTTCTGCTTCCTGCTAAAGAGTGTCTAAAAGAAAGATCAGAGACTACAGCTGAAGCTGGAGTTAACCTAATGATCAGGTCAGCTTTGACTGACCTGATGTTGCACCTCTGTGTGTACATGATGATGATGACATGAACACCACAAGGCATCCAAACTCCGAGTAAATTACTGTCCAGCATTTTTCAGCCTTTGTGCTACTTTTAAGACCTTTACACACAAAACACACTGCATTAAAAAAAAAAATCTGAAAAATGAAGTTACAAACTTCTCATGTAATATATTCAAGGTGAAACACTGGAAGATTTACACAAAATGGATCAAAAATTAGTATTTTTAGACAGAATGACATTCAAATATCTGTCACGGGCACTTTGTTAAAACAGAGTGATCAGCACGAGATGTACGATGTGTAATATTGCAGGTCATGCATAAAAGCAGTTGGTTTCTCAGTCAGGAGCTGCAGAACTGTGTTGTATATTTCTCTGTGTTAAAAGTAATACGTGGGTAAACTGTTTTCACTCAGCAGGTTATAATTTGGTTTCTTTGAAGTGATCTCCCACACAGACAAGAGCCTGAATCTAAAACCTCACACTGCTGTGGACACAGTCATCAGGCACAGATTTTACACACCTCAAAGAACCAATATGGGTTTAAGTAGACGCCAACATTAGAACATTCTTACTGCTTTACCTGCTGTCAGACAAGCCATTACACTCCACCAGCCTGCACTGACAAAAACAGTCATTTTACCTCATAAAACAGGAGCTGTTCATTGCTGCCTCGATTGGTTGGTTAGTGGATTTTGTCCCCTATGGATTCCACTATAAGCACGTTATGAAGATGAAGAATAATTTGGCTAGTGTTTTTGTTTTGTTATGAATCTGGACAGGCACGGGTTACCCACAGCTAAAAATCAGTAGTGGAACAGTGCAGACAACACAGCACCCCGGGTTCTTGTGCGTTTGCCATTAGATGTTGTACTTTGATGTGTTCATCCCTCTACCTGTAATGCACCTGAGATCTGTGGCTGTTTAAAATACTAAATTTCACTGTCAAATAAATGATCAAGTTCCTGATTGGTCAAACTGCCTTTTATTTGTTTGAATATAGAAGGAAGAAGTTCTCCCTGCTGTCAGAAGGTCCCCGAGGCAAAGGCCTGTGTGCAGTTATGAAGACATCGACAGTGAGGAAGAGGAAGAACGGCCCAAACCCATTGCTGCACGTTATCTCAGAAGTCCTCCAGTAAAGCCCAGAGCTCAACCCAAACAGGTGTGAGGCCATAGCTTGGACAGTTTGAACCTGTTTTACACTAAAGGCTACAAAACAACTATTTACACCTGACTAAATCTTTACGATGTGCTGTAGACTCTTCAGTTAGGTTGTTCTTCCAGATTTCTAAAGGTTATAAAGAAAAAGCAGAATTGAAAGTTGACACCTAAATGCTTCAAAGTGCACACACTTGAATTACCTTCTTTAACAGAAACATAACCCCACAAGGACAAGCAGCAAAACAGATGACGTGCCCCTGATCTCAGCGAGAATGGAGCGCCGAGTCTTCCCACAAAGGAGAAAAGAAGAGCAAGCAAACGGTTACATGGACAGGCAAACACAGCACAGAGCGGTATACAGCCATCCAAAGTACTGGGATAGCCAGCTCTACTACAGAGATGCTTTGGGTAAATGGGAAGAGTCTGTTCCCAAAAACTCAAGTCCTGAAGCCGGTCCCCAATGGAGTGAATGGCTGATGTCCTGGTTACTCTTTCTGGGCGCCTTTCTTTTACTGCTTGCTGTTGTCAGAGTTTGCCAAAGTACATTGAAGCCCCTTTGAGGAGCTAATGGATCTACGAGTTTTAACAGCTCCTTTCAAAGCTCCTTCCCAAAGTGGAGATGGAGCAGCCGGGAACACAAAGCCTCTCATCAGGACTTCTGGGCTGCCATTTTCACAGTGATGGGCTGAAATAGAAGGACAAGCCTCAGTTTATTCTGCCTATTAGATGTTCTGTAAAGGTAAACATGCGATGAAAGATTTCTTTATGATAAAAAGATGAAGTGGGCTCTCGTTTCTGACTGCAACTCACACGCTCGAATAAAACCGTCTTTGACTTTGAATCGGTGGCGAGCTGCATTCACAGACACGCAGTATCACACGCTTACTCCTTTATCAGACGAGGAGTAGCTTCAGTCAAAGTGTATGAATGCAGCACATTGTTGAAAGCGCAGTGGCAGAAGAAAAGGCTACAGGATGTATAGAGGCATGCTAATTAATAAGCTGAATATCTATTGAGGGCTTTCTGAAGGCAGCTGTCAGTCACACTGTGAGGCACGCACATACCTTACTGCAGTAAGGACACTCTCCAAAAACAATGTTGAAGCTCTGCCTGCTGGAGTGCAGCGCTCGCAGCCACTGAAGGCAAAAGAGAAAAGATCAAATCATTACCTTGAATCTGATGTGTGGCTCATAACAGCACTTTCAATATACACTCTGTACAGCTATGTTTAAGATTATCCAGCACCCTTGAAGCATTGAAGGGCTCTTTTTTTATTTAATTTTTTTTTTAAGTCGATTCGCGTCCTGCGATTTGTTTCTGAGCTTCAACGATATCTGGCCGTGCAGCATGTCACCGAGGACCGAGTCCAAACAGTCATCTGTGCTCATTTCCTGTGTGTCATAAGGCTGCACTAGTCCAGTTCTACCTTTGATCATATCTGACTGTCGCTCACCTTGAGCAGCCCACCTGTTGAAACACTAAAACACTGATGGCTAATGAACAAATCGTTTGTGCCTGATTAAATTAAATGCTGTTTACAAACACTGTTTACAATATGTATGTCCCCAAAGGGGAATCTGTATTCATGTGCATGTTTACTGTACTTGCAGCTCTCTGAAGGCAACAGAATAAGGCTTTGTATTATGACTGAGTGAAAATGGCAACTGTAATGAGCAAAACTTTGTTCATTTAAGCAAATAAATAAATAAAATAGATGTTTATAACTGTGTCCACTCCTCAGGAGGAACCCTTACAGTGTTTGAGGAGGGAGCACTTTAAACTCAAGTCAATAAATGGAGAGCTGTGTCCCAGAGGCATGCTGGTGGTACTGAGGGACTTGAGAAGAAGTGGAATTTTTTAATTATTAACCAGATCAGTTTTTTGGTCATTTTGTCAAAGTGTATGAAGTAGTCTGGGGTATATCTTAAACTTTCTGAGATTATAATATGGGTGATGTGACAGTCTACTTGTTGGGCACATGTCATATGAACCCATACATCCTAAGCAGTGAGTTCATGCTCAGTTTTTTTACCCACATACAGCCACACATGCTTTTTCAAAAGTCTTAATTATACAGTGTGGTGGTTTCCACGCTCACCTAACAAACAAATCCTTTTGCATCAGGAAGACCATCAGGTCCAACCTACTTGCTGTGGTGAGACTTTGTGAATGGGGAAACAACCCAAAGTAGCTTCCATGAATATATCCATTGCTCAAAGAAAAAAAAAAAAGGACTTTTGATAATTTTGGTTTCCACTGAGCGCTGTTGTGTCATTTTATTCTTGAGAAATCACATACTGTATGACAGCAAAGATATTTAACTTGAATACTTCTATATCAAGATATGTCAGCTGTATATAAAAAACATTTCCGTAATAAGTCATATCACTGTGGCTTGACATCTGGGCTGTTGTCATGTCAGACATCTTTATTAGAGATGGCACGATACCACTTTTTTATGTC